TGCGAGAATCTGAGAAAGGACAGAAATAGTGATATGAGTATGTCTTATCAAGGACGTAATGTATCCGAAATCTTATTCTGCATTTACTAAGTCCTTGACATGTGTCTATTGTAGCAAAATAGTTTATGGTAGCAGCATTCTCTATGCCTGGTTAGTCATCTAGACAACGGCTCTTTTTGAATGTAGAAATATTGTAAGCAAAACCAAACGTTGTTACAGGCATTCGTTCTGTATAGAAACCACTAGCCTTATATGCCATTTTCTTCGATTTCAAGTGATGAAGATGGCGAGTCCTCCTCCTTTTATACCGCAGGCGAAGCTAAACTCCTCCCCCAAGATGACGTCAGGACGATTCCTCGGGTCAAGACGGGTCTCGACGCACTTACTTAATTCCGAGATTGTACCTGTGTTTCCTCCACGCGATACCTTATCTTCGTTTGGTAATATTCGGCGACGCTGTAATATACGAAACGTCCAGACGACTACGCTGTAACCTGTAATGGGACTTATCTGGTTTACTCCACCAGACATTCTCGCATATTCACCAAGAAATTAAACTACTAATACATATTTTCACTTTCAGATACCTCATACTTTTCATAAATTTTAAAGATTTTTTAGTTCATTTTAACACAAGTATCTTCATGTACAGTTAACACTATTTATAGCAACAGTGTACATCTACCTTCAATATTCGCAATTCTCCACAGATCAAACACACGCACACTCTCAGGTACACACACCATTATATACATGGACATATGCGTATACATTTATATTTATTATACATACCATAACATACACACACATACATATATACATAATGTATATGTACACATACACTCTCTCTCTCTCTCTCTCTCTCTCTCACACACACACACACACGCATACATAGTGTATATAAATACACACACAGATATATGTTTATATATACTTATATATATATGTGTATGTGTATATATGTGTGTGTGAATAAATAAATGAACCTATAAATGAATATGCATACAGATAGATTAATAGATAGGTCTGTACATATATATGTATGTATGTGTGTGTGTGTGCGTGCGTGTGTGTGTGTATTTATGCTTACGTATAGATGCATATAAGATGAACATATGAATAGATAAGTAAATAAATAAATAGAGAAATATACATATGTATATGAATATATGTATACACAAATATGCATTATATATATATATATATATATATATATATATATGTACATACACTCATTTTTATATAAATATCTATTTATATCACACACACACACACACACACACACATGTACATATATGCACACATACACATATATGTATGTTCATTATATATGTATATAAACCCATATATATGCACACATACATATGCATACAACTATAAATCTATCTATCTATATATGTTTATATGAATACGTGTGTCTGTATATACTTACATTGCGAATCTTTATCTTTCTATATACCTCTATATACACGCACACATTCACGAACAAAAAAAGGTATCTATTTATTTATCTCTCTACATATATACATTTTTCTTCACTCCCTCCATGCTTCATGTCTTTTGCGTCGATTTTTTCCCTCTCACCATCACTGTCATCATAATCACAGTATTTTTAGATTAATGCTGTATTTAAAAATCCCAGTGTTGTATATTATTTCATTACGAAATGCATATCTATTCAGAAAAATGAGAGTGACTATTAAATGATAATGATTAAATTCCTAACAAATAATTAGAAGACGTGGACATGTTTTATCTCGAAAGAGGGAGCCACTATACAGGATTACTGATCGTTGAGAAACCCATTTTCATGCCCATGAATAGGGAAGTAAAAGTAAGTATAAAATGGAGATAGCCGCATATCCTACCGACGACAAAATGGTAAATGAAGTATAGGAACAATTAAGCATGAATGTTATTTGAAAGTTTTAATCTTATTTAGAGTAGTTACCTTATGATTCATGTAAAAAAATAAATAGAAATTGCCTGGGTTATCATGTTATTGGCTATTGAAAATACAAGTTAAATCTTGTTCTTTAATAGCATATATATTTACAAAAGTCGTCTATCAATAGATATTAAAATCAACATCGTTTAACCATAGGTAGGGGCAGGAGTGTAAGCACGGGGCTGGGTTGGGTATTGCGCCTGACCCTCGTAGCTGACCTCAGCCACGAAGCCGGAGTCTCCTTGCACGTTGTAGTTGACCGTCTGCAGGCGACCGTCGGGAAGGCGGACGTAGTAGGAACCCTGAGTGAAGTCTCCATCACGAGACTCCTGGTGACCGAAGTCGTTGCCAGAGGGTGGGTCGTTGACGGCGTAGTTGAAGTCGTACTTGGCTGGTCCGAAATCAGGAGCAGGAGCACCGTAGCCATAGGTCTGAGGACTGGCGATTGCAGTGGCCACAAGGGCGAGGAAGTGCGAGAACCTGAGAGAGGACAAAACTAGTTATATGAGCATGTCTTACCAAGGACCAAGTGTCTGGAATTTTATTTTACAT